CTACTACTACTACTACTACTCCGCACTACTCAGAGCGCGCGAAGAACTTAGCCTTGGAAAGCTGAGGAGCTGCAGAGCTGCATTGTGCCGCGGTTTCAAAGAGCAGGGACTGCAACTCTGCCTCGCGGTTTATGGGGACTTTAGCGTTCAGGGTTTTGGGTTGGGGGGTTATAGCCCCCCTTAGGGGGACTTTAAGGCCTTGAGGTGCATGGAAGGGTGCCCTACCTACAGCGCTATAGGGTCTCACCAGAAGGGACAAACATCACATGGCCCGCAGGATTAACGTGAGTTTCACTGCTTCACGGTACTCATAGGAATGCACAGTTGCAGCTTAAGGCTCAAGATGCCAAATGTCGGCATTAAGCAGCAACTGCTTCAAAACCAAGACCTTTCTTGGGCTCTAGCAGCGCCAGAAAGTCATGTACCGATATAGGGTATGCCTACATGTTTGTAATTAAATGGCAGTGCCAAGCTGCTGTTCAGAAGTGGTGGCAGCAAAGTGAGTCTACAGGAAGGACCGCAAAGGGCTACATACGTACGGAAGGTCTATGTGCAAAAGGACTTGAGTCAAACAAAGTGTGGGTTGCGGCCTCAGACCTTCTGCGAGTAGTGTCAGGTTGCCGATGCTTGGCATCCAAGGTGCCGTTGCTACAGAAACTATTACTGATGTTTCCGAGGCCAGAGGTGAAGTGGCTTAAAACGCTTTTAAAGTCTGACGCAGGATTACACAGGATTAGTCAAGCTACACACTTGCACTGTTCAGGGCAAACCTGGGCAAACAGCTGTCGTAGTTTCCTGGGCTATGACAGCATGGTCCTTCTTGCACCTGGCGTTTTTCCTACTGCACACTCTTATACTGTTCACTTCCAAGTGCAGGCTATCAGACTACTCTAGCAGGAGCTGGGCAGTAGCAACTTCACCCGGAAGTCAAATTTACGTTACCCCTTTTCACTACCCTACACCATTAGCACATTTCCAGGATGACTATCGCACTTTCCCTCCGACTGGCACACTGTAAGCGAATCAGTATGGGCATGAGGCCGGTGGACAACACTGTGATGCCAAAAGCTGCTGAACACCTCCTGTCACTTTGAAAACTCTTGCTCTTTCTCTGATTCAGGAACCCGAAACCCTAACCCCGGAAGGAGTTTTCCTCAAAGTAACCTGCTTACAGCCCCCAATCAGGCCCCTTAACATCCCTTCAGGATCGCCGAACATGCGCAGGGCCGCTGAACATCTGTTTCATGATGACAATCTGGCTCCTGTTAGGGAACTTAGATAAAGTTACTATAGTGGAGAAGCCCTATTATCACTACATATACCCATTCATTCTGGTAACTTAACCTGGGTTCCTCACAGCAACCCAGCAATTCTTCCCCAGAAAGCCTTGCTACCCTGTGCTTTCTTCCCCAGGAACTTCAGCCGAGCCGTCAGCGCTGCCTGCCCAGGGCTGCCACAAAGTTCTGAAGCAGCGGTGGCAGCACAAGGGTTTAGGGCCTAGGGTTTAGTTTCACAGAATTGTAGCATTGGCATTAGAAGATACTAGCAGTGTATCAGAGGTAGAAGCAGCAAGCAAGGTCGGAGTAGGGGCTCCTTTACTGTGGAGTGTGGGACAAAGGAGAGTAGGAGGGCTTCCAGGGAGTCAAAGAGATCCTTAGCCCAACCTAGGTAGACTTGGAGGAGCTTAGAAGTCCTTTAGGGAATATAGGGTTTAGGGTTTAGGGTTTAGGGGTTTAGGGTTTAGGGGTTTAGGGTTGTTGTCAACAGCCGGCAGCATCGTGAAATATCGCTGGCATCAACTGTACGGGTCTCGGGCCAGCGCAGGTGAGTAGCGTTCTTTTTAGTGGTGAAACCCAGTAAGATTATATTCCTCATATTTAAAATACTATACCCCAAAAGGATATAATCTTACTCTATATTGGGTACCATTGTATCCCCACATAAAATACTACTCAGATGACAGTTAAATGCAGACTCACTAGAAGCGATTGCAACTGCAGGGCGCGAGCACGGTAAGTCCACAGGCTTCAAGAGTAAAACATACCACAACTTGTAAGCTACGGGTGATAACATTGTTGCCCAAATGTCAGCACAATGTTTTTACTTTCAAAGCTGCTGTCCTGTTCTCAGGCCAAAGCCCCGAAAGCATTTAGACTCATCCCGACATCCCCTCTAGAGCTTTCATGGCGGGGAGGGAGGGGCGCCATTTGGTTTCCGTGTCCACCTGTTGCTCGTTCCCGCCTAGGCATTTCATTCTCGCTCCTTGCCCCACGTTTTCCAGCTTCACACCCTTCCTCAGGTCTGGTCTTGCTGTTCGCGGGTTTAAGCTCTGCCTTTTGGTCCTAGCTTCTTTGATGAATCTTCTAAAGGCCCATGCCCGCCAGACACCCTTGCAATGAATTTCGGCTTGAGAGAACTATTCATCCCTGGAATCCCCTTTTCATTGGTGGCTTATCCTGATTGTCCAGAACTTTAGACCCTAAACCCTGAACCCTAAACCCCTAAACCCTAATCCCTACTTTCAGAAACCCCAAGTCATGTCACCGTCACTTCGACGCGCCTTGGCCTCCTTGCCTTAGTGCGACTCAAGGCTAAGCTCTTGGACTTCCAGAAGGGGGATACTAGGAGTTTAGATTCTAGCTGCCAAAGTAGGTAGTTATATTTGATGGCATGTACAGTTCATGCAGAGAACCAGGAGGAGCCAGGGCTCTCGCCACCTTTGAAATACCAACTACTCCCGTGAGCGCACTTCCTCATCCTCCGGTCCCACAAGTCAGAAGCCTGGCTTTGGTCCCATCCAGTGGCTTCCTAGCTTCAAGTTTCCCAACAGGCATGCCAAAATATGGGAATCCTCATGAACTTCGACATCTTCGACCTCCCCAAACCATCAGCAGTAATTTCAAGATATGCCCAAACAAATGTCTCAGACCAACAGTGCAAGATGTTCCTGGGCACCTGTTTTCGGAGCTCTTTCTAAATCTTACTCACTACGGACTCTGCGAGCTCCCCAAGTCTGAAGGGTTGCGATCTGTTTGAGCTCAAGCAAGATCTCTTGAGCCGAGGAGCTCTAGCAAGCCTAAAGCCCTTTCAGAAGCGACACCCTCCCCCTCCCCCCAGGCCACAACGTACTGAAAATCTCCGCCTTGGGCCAATGCCACCATAGCACTCTTCAAAATAGAAGCAACCACACCAGCACATCCACAAAACAACGTCAAGTTGCAAATGTGAGGGCAGGTCTGCTCGTCTGGCTGCTTCGCCTACACGAAATTTCTTGCGCACTCTGGCGAAATCAGCCTGCACAACCAACATGCCTCTCTGCGAAGCAATGTCTCCGCTAACAATATTAGGTGAGGCCCGCAAAGATTAACCACAAGGGACGACATTGAACATGTTTGGGCCACGATTTATTCTCGTTCTAGCAGTAGCATATTTCTGGTGGAGGCCTTACCAGCCTTACCCAAAATTTGCGCAGCAAGAACACTTTAAACACCCGAAGCTCGCAAACTTGTGCTCTCAGCCCCAGTGCAATTCGCCTAAACCCGAAATCTGCTCCTGCATGAGCTACAGTCTAACCTCCTAGTATCTCCCTCCATGAGCCCTATACTAGTCCCCTAAATAATCCCCTATATACCCCCTTTTAAGGAGTTTGGACTATAGCTAACACAGGGCACAGCTCTTCAGGGCTAGAGGGCCCTTTGCAAGGAACCGCTTCAACAACCACTCCCAAAACAGTTTCTCAACATCATCCTTATAGAATCCTCTCGGGGGACCCACCTAATTCCCTCCTACCCCCTATAGATCAGAAAACCATTCAAAGGCTCTCCAGCTGTAAGGAATATGAAGCGCCCAGCGGCAAAGAGGGGCTCAAAGTGGCGAATGAGCTGAGCCATGGATGCTGTTCGCTCTGCCTGGGACTTGACCTGCTCCGGGGCAAAGCCACACGTTTAGGGTTTGGTGGGGTGGTTAGGGGTCTATGGTTTGAGGGTTAAAGCAATAGTTGCTTGGGGGTGGGTGTAAGGCTCCATGGGAAAAATTGGTAGTCACGAGTCGTAAGTGAAGAGGGTTGGAGCATGAGCTATTTGTCTACATGCTAAGGGTGGACTTTAATCTACTTACCCCAGCCCAAGCCAGGCTGTTTAAAACGTGCCTTCACTCTTGTTACAGCAAAGTGGTCGCATGATGGGAAGGCAGCTAGATAGGGAGAGTGGAAGCAGGTAGTACTAGGAGGTCCATGGACGATTAGATGTAAGGGCTTAAGCCGCACAATGCACGCCGTTACTCCGCGTCTTATAACTCTGGGTGTGTGTATTCTTACTAGCCCTGGCCCCACTGACTGAAGATACCCACGAGCTTGAAATTCAAATCACTTGGAGCTTGCTTAAAGCAGGCAGCATCAGCAAAACGTAGCCTACCCCCAGCCCAAAGTAGCGGCCTAGAAAATTCGAATGGGACTCAAGGGTAACTTGCATTGTACTCGTATTGTAAGCATTCTTAGGGAAGATTGCTGGCAACATTTTTGGCTTCGACAGTACATGCTCTAAGTCTAGCTGAGACCTACATGGTGGATTCCCTAAATAAGGGGACCCCAGTATAGACCCTGTAATCCCTGTTATAGGGAGCTCCGAAAAGTACCCCGAACTTTGGATACCCTAAGCCGTGAAACGTAACCCTAATTTTGGGCAACCCCCAAGTTAAGGCAACGAGATGGTAGTGATCTGATACAGCTTGGTTAGCCAAAGCCAAGACCAGGGTTTAGGGTTTAGGCGACACAGGCATCCCTGAAGGAATCTGGAATCCCCATACAAACTACTGCATAACCCTGCGAAACATCCTGAACTGCTGCAAAGTTAGCCCTATACACGTATAACCTCACGGGGCCTCTCGCTCGGTCCTCCGGATTCTTTCACGTCGCAGCGCCAACTGCTTCTGACACTCGTCCTGACCATGCGGCTTCGTTAGGTAGCAGCTTGCCCGGAATTTGGGGTTTTGCGGCTTTGAGGGGGAAGCTTCAAGGTCTGGGCAACAGTAAGTGTAGGGGTTCCAGAGTCTGAAGCAAAGGGCCAGTAGGGACAGCATTAAGAACAGGAGGACTTTGGCAGCCCCTACCCAAGAAATCAAAAGCAGATTGTAACCCGATGAGCATTGTTTTTAAAGTTTAGCTTCTAGTGCTAGCATGGAATGCCTAGCGGAATGCTGTTATCCCTGCAGGACAGACTATGCGAGCACACTCTTGCTATAGCGCTGCCTACGGGGTCACGCGGCACTCCTGGGTTATAGACAACCCCATGCAGGATTATCTTCTTGCTTTCAGAACATACTAACTGCGCCGACTACGCAGACAAGACTAGCTATACGTGCCTATGCAAAACTACGCTAGAACTGTGCCCTGCAGGCTAGAGGCTACGCGACCACTCTTGGAGTATCACTTCCATCATAGCCCTTACATACCTTAAACAAAGATTGGAAACATGAAATCGTTATGCGGGCCCAACCTTAGAGCCTGGGATTACCAAAAGTTCTCGACTAAGACTGGGATGCGACATGGATTGTTGGCTTGAGACATTCCGCCCAAAGCCGGCGTTTTGAGGATGGAGAGTTTTAGGGTTCTGGCTTTGTATCTGGCTTTAGGAATCCACTCAGCTTTCCAATGCGCCTTGGAATAGCAAATTCTCGGAACCCTGTCGTGCATTCAGTTGCAGCGAGGCATGTGCCAAAAGTAGCGTCCCACGGACAAACCTGGACCTTCATTCGACGGACCTTTAAAGACCGCTCTGAACCCAGGCATTCACGTAATACGGCACATGTTTCAAACTTTGATGGTTCACCAGGCTGCAGCTGAAATCAAGTTCCCAACTCTGCACCTCTACCTCCTTCTGCCCACCACCAGAAAAGTAAATCCGATGAACTCAAAGTCACAAGTGAAGCATAAATGGGAGGGACCTGTTGAAATCCTGATTAAGCTCCCTCATTCAGATATGGAAGTTGAAGCGGCCACTTGTTGACTGAGACTAGTACCTTTGTAAGACAAAAACCACCCCCATTGCAGTAGTTGGCAATAGCACGCTCAATGGCACCAAATGTGATAAGGAGTTGGAGTTGTCCTCCGCAGTCAGCACGTCGGATGCTCCGGAGAAGCAGAAATGGCTACCTGAGTTGTTGTTTATATACCTTCCCAACACTTTGAACTAGTTTGGGCCATCCGAAGGTTACACGTTGTGTCGTCTACGAGACAACACAAAGGCCGCAAGATGAGAATCCTGAAGCCCAAAACCACAAAGCGTGAACCCTAAACCCTAAACCCTAAAGTCCCTAGACCAAACAACGCCTGGACCTAAGCCCTGGCTGTGAAGGGAATATGATCCCTATATTGTACATTCCTTATATGAGCTGTAGGCTAAACTCCTTAAAGGGGATTATATAGGAATTATATAGGGTTCCTATTACAGGGCTTATTCAGGGGGATACTAGGAGTTTAGACTATGGCTCATATAACCCTCGTACCTATGTGGGTGGTTGTCAAAATTATGGTCCCTTTTTGGGTACCCTAAACATTAGGGGCCGTACTATAACAGGGATCCGAAAAGGGACCATAATTTTGACAACCACCCATGTAACCCTATACATAACCCTCATACCCATGTAACCCTATATATAACCCTCATACCTATGTAACCTTATAGTGCATCAAAAACCAGCTGCAGAGCTTCAGTAGACCGCTGGTCGTCCGGCCGACCTCCCTCAAGGCCTCGGCTGGGGTTTCTTGTCTTTATTAGGAGGACCCCCCACCCTGTAATAGTGGTATAATAAGAATATAAGAGGACCCTAATATAATCCCTACTATCCCTTATAGTCACTACTACTGGGTGGGGGGTCCACCTGAGGTTTTTATGGTTTGCTGGCTTATGCAGTACGGCCTTAAAGCTATCCCCCTCAAATGTGCCAAAATCCAATTCCACAAGTTATCTAAACTGTCATTTTGCAGAAGACGTGCATGGTATGTAAAGTTATGAAGGAACTCATAATCAACCATACGCTGCCATGACTATCATCCAAAACTCGGTAGATTCCCAAAATAAGGGGACCCCCAATATAGACCCCAAAATACGATTATCCTCATAATTGGGACCCCCAAAAAGGTACCCCCCCCCCATTTTTGGTAAACTACCACTCTGTTCCTAAACCCTAAACCCCTAAACCTCTAAATCCTAAAGCCCTAAACCCTAAAGCCGTAGCCCTGCCTTGATCTCCTGCGGCAGCGCCTGCGTTTGAGTGTCCGACAGCCCCAGCTCCTGGCTGAGTTGTTGCCTGGGGCAGGGATTCTAAGCCGGAAAGTCTGCCTGCCTGTAGCCAATAAAAATAGAAAAAATACTATAATATTCATGATAATCATGATAATAATAGTAGTTACCCTAACCTTCGAAAGACCTCATATGGGGCCACTTTTCCAAAGACCTTTAAAAATGAGGCCTCAAGGTCAGGTACTCAAAAAACGAGGAGTTTCGAATATATAGAGTTATAGGAGTATATGTTCTTTTATGAACTTTATATAAATCCAAATTATCTCAACATAACTTATATGTTTTGAACAAGAAATACACATGTCGTGTATATATATGAATCGCCAAGGACCCAAGCAATAGGGTATTAGGGCCGAAATACGATACAATGAATGGATTAAGCCGTATTAATTAGGTCCTTGGAGCTATGCTATTTCAAAATCATGATCATATATTCACACAGTCTCTCGAAACTCTTTTTTCCTCCTTTACGCGCTTGCATTTCCATGATGCATGCTCCTGAGAGGCCTTTAGCCAGGAGCACAAAATTCCGGGATGGGCCCATGTCCACATTCCATGTGGGGGCTGGCCCCCACAATAAATTTCACGTGGGTGCCATGCTCACTGCTCAACCTGAGGGTCTAGGATTCAGAGTTTAGAGTTTGGTTTCAGGGTTTAGGGTTCAGAGTTTATATGCATAAAATATTTTAAAATTAGATATATGTTATACTCTATTTATTTTAATTTGGGACGATGTATAAATACAATACCCTAAACCCTAAACCCCATATTCTATATGTATTCGGGACTATACAATACCCTAAACCACATGTTGCTTTGAAAAGACCAGCACCAGAGTCTCGCCCAAGAGCGGCATGTTTTGAATCAGCAGCTCAATCTTATCCATTCTCGGTCTTCCCCGTCGAAGCTCATCATCTGGGATGGGTTTGGCTCCATGATTTGGTTTTAAATGTCTAGCATATATATGGATACTTATATATATATATAAGCCTCATCCATTATAATTACAATGGCCAGGTTTGTTTCATATATATGTAGCAAAAATTAAAATCAAATATATGTATATATATTTATATAACTGGTAAACCTTGCATGATCTATATACATGTATATCATATACACACATGACAAACACAAAATTTTATTATAATGCAGGCGGGCAACAAAAATAATGGCTGAAAACCTTGAAAGACACTAGCAGCTCATCCAACGCCATAATTATCTCGACTTCGTGCATCTCAAGTGCAAATGCCATTGAGCTCTCCACGATTTTGTCGCATTTCCTCAGGATGAGATAAAGGGAAAAAACATGAGAAATTTGAATTATTAATATAGTGATCATGATCATGAACNNGAACAATCTATCTTACTAATTTATAACCTTGTTCTAGCCGAGACTCCCAGCATTGTTGATCCCAGTGGCTTCCATAAAGTCTGGGGCAGTGCACCCTAGCAACGCTCGATGCATAGATCTCCCAAGAGTGGCAAAGTCCTTCATGCCACGATGATGAAGCCGGTGCTTGTCTTCTGGGGATAACTTATGCACATAGTGCAAGACAGCACTCCACCTCCGTTGACGCAGCACATCAATCATGCGTCTGGCTCGGGCAGCATGACCCATAAGCTCGAGCTTTGTTTCCCACGTCGCAGCACATGCCATAGCGGAACACTGTACAGAGAAAAGTCCTACGCACGTGCTTGAGCTGCATTGTCGCGTATGTATCGTGCCCATGGCTGCTTGATAGCTATGATCAGTGATTTTATGTTGCAGGGGCTGTCAGCTTTTGGCACTCAGCTTCTTTAAGTCATATTTTGCAGCGCCCCTCAGAAGCCGGCACTCTTCTTCGAATTCTTGGCCATGCCTCTCAAGCGAAGCTGCGCCTTTCTGAGCAACTCCAGCTCTAGCGTGCACGGGTGCGACGATTTGGCCACCGAAACGGCCATGCCTATCGCACCCTCTTCAGCGTAGGTGTGATAGAAGCTCACATTGAGACCTTTGTTGTGATACGCACGTATACAGTGGAAATTAAATCTTTTCTCGTATATATATATACAGCTTCTTATTTTAAAGTAGAATATACATAAAAATATACCTGCGATCGATTCAAAGATGCCAAAACAATGCCAGAGTGCCTGTCTGAACTTGGTCCATCAAAAGATGCTGGAGCATCTAGGCAGCACACATGGGTAGAAAAATCTAATTACATTTGTTGCTTATTATTGTATATTAGGTTTGTAT